CACACCCACACCCACACCCACACCCACACCCACACCCACACCCACACACACACCCACACACACACCCTAAACCCAGCAGCCATGCGACACCTATTAACATGTATGGTAGATAAAGCACGATGTAGAGAACCGAAATAGATAATAATTGAATTGTCATCTTTCGATGTCTTCGCCAATTGATTCGTTGACGCATTCGACGTTTTTGTCTGAGAACGCGTAAAAGAAGACCACCACTAAAAAACGTAATAGTTAGAGTAGGAATTATTGTGTTAAATATACGATGCCACAACAGAAATTTCCAATTGTAAAGTAAACATGGATCAGTACATCCAATATAAGAATAGTCGACATAGTTTTGACAGGGTGGAAAGAAAAAGACAATAGAAAAGAAGATAATAGAATAAGCAAGAAGTGTCACTAAAGGAAGGTAATGAACAAAAAATCGTTTTCCTCTAGTTGATATCCATTGGTCATGAAAGATAAGAATATGTCGCTCAACTACAGTCCAAGCAAAGAGTAATAATTGTGTAACAAAACTTGTATAATCGATGAAGGACCAGATAAAACAAAATATCAGTGCCGGTTCCCACATGCCGTCGAGACGATAGTAACGTAGAATCCACAGAATGTTTGTTAGCTCAGAAATAAGACCAATAATGATAAGAACGATCATTACATGATTGTATAATGCTCTGCATTGAGTTCGATCGAAGAGAAGATGAGATAGTACAAAGAGAGAACAGACAGTCGATGGAATATCTCCGAAGAGATAAATCCAAAACTGAACAGTATAAGAAAAAGATAACATTGAAATAAACGGATGGTGTTTTTTTCTCTCTCACAGTTACTAGTAGTCGATATGTCGAGAAAAGTGCCTGTATGTAAATGAGTTTGAATACGTTGAAACATGAAAGTTGAATATATTAATTAACTCATGTGAATAGACAAAAATCTTTTTTTATGATGTCTGCAAAGTACGATATTTGCAGTAGGTTCACCCTTCAACGAGCATTATCTATGAATAGATTATCATACATATGCTTGAAATTCGACTTTGAACGGAAAGAGTAATGGAAATGATTTTGGTCTAGTTTAAAAGATTCAAGAGAGATGTTTAATAAAAATAATACTCACACTCTCAAGTAAAATTCATGTATCTTTCGCTCAAATTTGTTTTAAAGGAACTGTCATCAATAAATTTACTATAAAGAGCACAGACACCTATATTATCGAGAAAATAGATTGTCAGATTCGAGTCAATTCTCAATTTTTTCAACCATAGGTAATCTATCATGGTTCAGAATTTTAGTTTTGCTGAATAAATATTTGCGGTACACCTTATGATCAATACCGAGAAATACTCGTTCTTCAAAAGAATAATAGAATAAAAACTATTTAATCTTCTCTACAATTTGGCAGTGTGACATCCTTCGGTTTTTACGTAAGCATAATCTAAAACTAATATGTACATTAACAATCATATAGAGATGACTAGAATGCATTAAGAAAAAATTATACTCATTTCCTTTGTAATGCCAGTAATTGTTATTTATCATTGGTAGATAAGAATAAACTATATCTATCTTGCTTTGATATTTGTGTCATCGAAACTGCATACTATATGTAACAAAATGATGAGTTTAATTTATTTTACTATTACTTTTAAGTGATTTCGGTATACTAAAATTTGGCACAATATGAACGATATTTATTATAAAAGTTAACTATGTCATTCAGTATACCGCGATGTCTTTCTACACAGATATTTGTTTTCTTTCACTGTCTATATATTGAGATTCAAGAGAAACTAATTTTGAATTAAGAATCTGTATAATTCGAAGAAGAGATACGAAATATCGGTGAAAAAAAACAATTAATCTAATAAGAACAGATAACTACATTTTTGAATCTCCATTAAACATTTACAATTATAAAAAGAATATTGAAGATTTTGTTTATAACATCTAGATCGACTTGATAAATAAATGTACCTGTAATTTTCTTATTCTCATTAGTGAAATTATTACCAAGGATTTTCTTAATTTATTTTAATATTGCTTTAGTTTTCAAAATCACATGAACTTCATACACGAATGATTAGTATCTGTAAAGATTCTGTATGAAAAGTATGCAAGGTATTTTATAAAAACAAAAGAGTTAGTGAAGCATAGATGATTAAATAATAACATATGAAACCGATGACACAATCCGAATATTTACAAATAGACATGTTATATATATGTATATATAAACAAATATAGTTATCTGTTCTTATTAGATTAATTGTTATTGTTCACAGATACTGATATATATCACTTCTTTGAATCATGCATATTCTGAAGTCAGAATTAGCTTCCCATAAGTCTTTCCAATTAGGGAAATCTCAAGACATTGAAAAAAGATGATTGTTAAAATGTTATTAACAAAGAAACGATTTCTGATAGCGAGTGACAGTGGTTATTATCTTAAATTGAAGTTTTGTCTATGATGCGATTTTCAGAGAGAATTCTTAGGAAATAAATATTTATATCATCGTAATTGCTCACACAAAAGTTCTGTATAAGTCCGTATATGATTAGAAGATTTGTTATTTATAAAGTTAATATAGTACGTGAATAATAATTGTACGGCAAACGTACGAGCAGGTTCAATATTCCCGCATGAATAAGCTTCATTGATCTTTCTGAATATTGAATTCAATACAAAAGTAAAAAATAGCTACAGTATTAGCTGCAAATCATTGAAATAAAGCATAATAGCGATGACGCTACTATACTGTTTATACTTATCTACCATCAAAATAAAATGTGACTCACTTTCTTTTTTCATTTCATAACATATGTTATTGTATAATAATTATATGTCGTCAACAAGACCAACCTTAATTGACATTTTTCTTATTATGATTTTTTTTCTCACATGTATTGCGTTTTCAATATGAAATGACACATTGATGATTGAATTATAAATTTTTGAAAAAATGAAGAGGATTTGTAAATTTTATCTGAAATAATTTATGATTCATTTGAGATATTTCCGATCTGTGAAGATTTTTGAAGCGATTATTATTTTTTCACTTTACAATTCGTAAATATTGATTTATTCTTATTATATAGTCGTTACTCACTTTCTTTCTTGTACAGGCGTGACGATTACTGGCACAGTTCATTACCCCTTTACCTATATTAAATTGAAATTTTTTTTTATACAAATCAACGTATATATAAAGCAAAAATCACATTTTATGTTTAGTACTGCTATTATAAAGCATCGAGAAAGTATAATTATGTCATACAGGTATAAACTTTTGTGAAAATTCATTTAAAAAAAATTACAAAATACTTACTTTAGATTCTATCATCATTCAATACAACAACCAGCCTTCGTAGATCATAAAAGATCTCCAAGAATAGTGTCAATCAGTGGAAAAAATCGTGAAATTATCTATCAGAAAATAGAACGATGGTTGGATATTCGTTATGCTGGTTATCAACTTATACAAACTGCACAAGTAAAACAAAACAATCGATTTTATTGTCGTAAAACTTTTCGTACAGCTGATGGACGAATAAAAGTTATTTTGTTCGATTCCACAGATGACGCTCTATATGAAAGAAATAATACTAGTTTGATGTTTCAAAGCGGTACAAAAATGCGTATATGGGCACGACAAACATCAATACCAACAAGAATCGAATACTTTACATAATTTTCTCACAAAACAATTAACAACGTTAACAAGAACAGCTTTTTAAAAAAAAATGCAAACCATCATTGAAATACACACTCTCTCTTACTTTCAATTTTATTCCATCTTATATGCTTTTGAAGTAATTTCATTATCTATTCAAATTTTGATTTTTGGGGGGTGAGAATGTGGATAAATATTCAACATCCACATCCAGAAAATAATAAACAGAGGCAATATGATTTGTTTTCAATATGTTTTGAAATATTTTTTTTTGAAAACGAAATATAATCACATAACATAGACTTGGTTGGAGGTATAAGTATTTTTCTTTATTATCTACTCTCACATTCTCATCTCATCTTGTACAATAAAAATATAAACCATAATTTGCTAATCTCAACCTTTGCTTACTCAGCAATCGGTCAAAGTCAAAATTAGCTATTAAATGAATATAAATCTTCAGATAGAAATAATAAATGCAGATGTTTGCTTCGCCGACGTGTTTCGTGTATTTATTTTGAAAATAAAGCACACTCATCAGGGCTTTGCATTTTTATAGAAAATATAAGACGGAAAAAGGAAGATAACTAGATTAAGAAAGAAAGAAAGGAAAAGTTTGCGAAGAGAACATCAAGAGATAGAAATAGATAATAAATAACCCTTTACGACCGGCTGTCTTTTCACAGCACAAACTAATAATTGATATAATATTTGCTCTAAAATATTATAGCTGATGACAAACATAAAGAATGATACAGACACAGAATAATAGCTTAAATTAAATATTAAAAAAATTATGATTTGTTTTATATTTGCACAACATCAAGTAAAACTGACATACTCTTTATATTACGTATACAATTCTTATTGAAATATTAAGCGACGTCTCATTTACACATCATTTTTCTCTGAGTAGATATTGTAGATCAGAAATCTTTGAATGTAAATACAAGTGACATTGATATGTCTCAGTATAACGTCTTATATCCTATTGCTGAATATTTTGAAATCTAAATGAATAATTTATCATAAATCAGATGCATAATCTTCATGAAGTAAGAATAAGTAGATACTACTGTGTTTAGATTGAACACAAATGTAAGAGTTATGAGTCTTTTGAGATGGATTATTTTTGAAAAGTAATTGTTATTTTCTACAGATTTTCTACGTTACGTATTTTGTATTACGAGTGTGGATGTTTTTGAAGAATAGATAATCACACCCACCCTTTTCTTGTTCGTATTCAACAAGTAAAAAAAATGAACGAGGGTAGTGGCGTTTAGTAGAGAAAAAGCAAGTCTATTAGTGTTCATAAATACAAGTTTAGGCATTAAAAGAACTTTGAAGTTTGATATCAGCATTATTGGCCGATGTTGATATCCAGACAGTATATGAACCTGAAGCCACAGTCCATTGTTGATTGATGACATTCCAGTATGAAATATCTTTTCTTGATAATACTAATGCAACTTCTTTTAATTCATTGGGTTCTAAATAGATTCGTTCAAATCCTCGTAGTATTTTTAGTGGTTCTTGTGCTTCTGATGGAAATCCAAGATATAATTGTGCTATTTCTGAGCCATAATATTTGCCAGTATTTTGAATAGTAAATGTAACTGTATAAACAGGATCATACAATCCTGAATGACCAAAATTATTATAAGGTCTCATTCGACGTTGTTTATATAGTGATGCCGGAGAGTTTTTATCATCATCATCATTGGCTTGTGAAATGTCCAGTTTAGCAAACGAGAAAGTAGTATATGAGAGACCAAACCCAAAAGAATATCTTGCTGTGATATTGTATTTATCAAAATGACGATAATCTAAGAAGACACCTTCTGTATAATTTGAATCACCCATTGGACTAATATCAGTTCCAAAATCGGAATCATTTTTGGCTAACGAAAACACAAGTTTTCCGCCCGGATTATAACTACCAAAGAGAACATCGACAAGAGCAGAGCCATATTCGGGTCCAGGAGTGCCTGTCCAGAGCACAGCAACAACGTTTGGATGATCGATCCATCGTTCAAGATTTAGTTGTGAAACACTATTAACAAGAACAATAGTTTGACGACAATTTTGAGCAACAGTCAAAACAAGTTGTTCACCATTATCAAAAGCATATAGATCGGTTCGATCGACTCCTTCTTCTGACCAAGCACTAATAAATACAAGACATTTAGCATTTTGAAAACCACGATCGTTGAATGTACGATTAATGGAAGCAAAATCATTTTGATTTGTAATATATCGAATTTGAAGATGATCATCTCGACCTTTTTGCATCAATGCAGTGAGAGGATCTATAGCATAGGCTGGTCGAACGAAACCTGACCCACCACCTTGATATAAAGCACCTCCACAATTTGCATTCCAAGCTGTTTGTTCTAGACCACAAGTTGTTTGACCAGCTGCTTGTCCATAGATATAAATGTTTGTGTCGATAGAAGAATTGAATGGTAATACATTGTTAACATTCTTTAGTAAGATCATACCAGCACGACTGGCTTCTCGATTAATTATATAATTATTTCCCATGACATTACGATCGAGATCAACTGTTGGATAATTTTGATCTTGTCCAACAAGATAGTAAGGCGCAATAATACGTATAGCCATATCATCAATTCTCGATTCAGGAATACTTCCATTCTGAACAAATGAAACTAAAGTATCACCAAAATATCCATCATTACCTGGCATATCAATATCTAATCCTGATAAAACTGGATCAACTGTTGATTTTGCTCCCATCCAATCTGTCAATATATTACCCATATATCCTAATTCTCCTTTCAACAAACCATTTTGTGTTTTATTATTTTGACAAGCTCGTGTATCATTAATTTCATTGGCTGAACACATGATAGAACCTGCACCAGCAGCAACACTTGATGCAAATGGCCAAAGATAAATTTCATGCATGGTTTTATCATCGAGATTGGCTGAGTAAACTACGTCATCATTGTCACCACTACGATGCGTGTCCTGTTCATTACATATATAATGTTTAGGTGTTGCAACAACCCCTTGATCTTGAACACCTTGTGTATAGAAAAATGCATTTTCACCTGAAAGATATGGATCAGAACCAAATCCTTCCCAATTACGACCATGTCGAGCATTTCGATCCATATTTATCATAGGACCAAATCCATAATGAATGCCTTTGCCACGAAATTCTTTTCCAATTGCAACAGCACGTCGATAAAACAAATCTCGATCCCATGTCGCTGCAATATGAATACCACTTACAAATGCAGTTGAATATAAAACACCATCACCTACACCTGATGGTGTATCTAGAAGGCAGAAGCCACTAAAATTGACACGTGGCAACGATGCAATATTACCAGCACATGTCCCGCCAACACCTGCTGTTAAATGGCATTTTTCTTGTAATGTCAATTGAGCAATAAATGATTTTGCCATAGCAATAGCTTGTTCCCATGTTCTAAGTGTAACTTGAGGTTGAATATTCGCTTTGGAATTATCTATGGATGATTCCGAAGGCGGAAAACAAAGAGCAACGCAAATCAACAACAACGGAATTGTTAACATTTTAATGACAATAATTCAAATGTTGTTCTTGCTGTACGTGAAAGTGTGTCTGGGTAAGCAAGAATCTTATCTCTTATCGTCAATTTCAAACTTACACCTTTTTTTCAAATGAGAATTCATCGATGAGTCATACCTTGTATCTTGCACAATTTTATGTAATACATCGGTGTGAGTAGCCGACCTGATACTTCAATAGATATATTTTCAAAATTAATTCAATTACTATTACATGTCTCATACATATACAATCAAATATCTCTCTTTATAGTGAACATCACCGATTTTTATAAAAAAATAACTCCATGAAATAAATGAATACTTTTGTTATTTTTACTCTTTACATACGAATGATAAAAGTACATATTATAAGGTAAATTACAAAGAGATATGTAAATGCATTCATCCATATAATGACTCATGACGTATACGTACGATTGAGAATGTACTTTTATAAGAAAGAAAAATATTGGTTTTACTACGTAACTTAAAATAATTAATATTGTTTAAATCAGTTTTTATTCTTCCAACAAGATTTCTTTCGATGATAATTTAATATATCTAATTATAAACGAAACAAAGATGTTATAATACAAAATACAACATTTCGAAATAGTTATTTTCAAATAATTTTACTTTTCTTTTTGCTTCTTTTTTTATTCCTATTATCTCTTCGATATATTTTGTTTTGTCGTATACGCCCATATATTTAACTATAAATATCATTATTTATATACATTTGTACGTTCGATCAACCAAGAATATTTACACTTATCGACATTTTTATTTAAATACAGTAGGTAACGTTTTTTTTCTAACGATTATATGGTACAAATGATCTTAGTATTCTCAAAAGAGATGGAAATGCAAATTTCTATAAACAATTAACTTTATTAACTGGAGGGTGTGCTAGTAATAACCAAATCCACACCCAACTTTTTCAATAAGATACAAAATATTTATCTTACAAATTTAATTCCTTTTATGGGTATGCTAAGGAGCACCATCTACTGTTTCTCAATATTTCTTCTTTCAATCCATACTATATCTTGATTAATATTACATTCGTTCTATATATTATGCGATGTATTTTTGATTATAACTTGATCGTAGTTGCTACTGACAGAGTAATTAGTTAGTTAGGTTTTGTACCTTCCATCTCTTCATTACCTAATTATGATTTGAATAAAATCCAACCCATAGAGGATTTTCTTAAATCTTTTTCTTTTAATTTAAAATTCGACTATAGATGTTTAGAATATATGGAAGATTGCTTTTTATAATAAAAAATCTTACAGCGTTATATTTTTTTTCTATTCTGATTGCGTTACGCCATGTGTTAGTCTTATCGAATGTTTGTTTTTCTTCTCTTCTTCGCCATTAAAAAATGTCGATGTCGTGTATGGCTTTTTATTCTTTGTTTCTAGATATCTAAATATATTTGAATTACTGTTGAAAATTAGATCAAAAAATAATGTCAACATCGCCAATTGAATTTAAATTATTTGCTCCAAATAATAAACAAGTTGAATTGTTGATTGCTCATACTCAAGATCGCCCGTCACGTCAACGAATTCCTATGGTAAAAGATGAACAAACTGGTTATTTTCATTGTCAAGTATCCAATCTTCAAGATGGCGATTATGAATATCGATTTCATCTACAAACTTGTTCACCAAATCATAAACCAGACGAATGGCTAGATGTTATTGATCCATGTGTTACTCAATACGATGCAATCAATGATGAAGGTATAGTAACAGTGAAACAAGGACGAAGGCTTATATCTGGTTGTGATGATTATCAATGGCGAAATGATCACATTAAATTACCGGAAAATAAAGATATAATTATCTACGAATTGTACATATCTGATTTCACAGACGAAGGCACGCTGAATGCCATTATTGATACGGGTAAATTGGATTATCTAAGTCAAGAACTAGGAATCAATGCTATTGAACTCATGCCTATTCAAGGTACGATGATATATTTGCAGGGATCTAATAATATTATTATTTGTTGTTATTTTTTTCATCACAGAATCAATGGGTATGGCACACGATTGGGGTTACTCAACACGACATTACTTTGCTCTGAAACATTCTTATGGATCACCTGAAGATCTAAAGCGATTTGTTGACGAGTGTCATGGACGTGGAATTCGTGTGATTTTAGATGGTGTTTATACATTTTCAAACAATGATTGTCCGTTGTTACAAATAGATAAAAACTATTGGGTAAGAATATAAGATTACTTTTTAATTCTTACTAATATGTTTCAAGTGAAATTAAATGTTTATTCACTAGAATAACTCTTTGTTTTATTTTTAGTATTATGCTGATCGTCACCATCCAGATGGTGAGTTCCAGGAGATTTTTAATCATGTTTATTTTCATTTAAATATTCGTTTTTATATTTCGTACTTAAAGATCCAAATTACTGGGGACCCGAATTTAACTATGAATATTACGATGATCAATTGAAAATCAAACCTGCTTGTGACTATATCAGTGCCGTAGCGAATTATTGGTTGGCAGAATATCATTTGGATGCAATCAGATTTGATTCAGGTGCATAATTTCATTTAAAATTTGACACTTAATATAATTTCATTTTTCTTTTTTAGTTAAAGAGTTGGACAATTTTGATATTCTACGTCGATTAGTCTCTGAATGTACAGAAAAACGAGCACCACAACCGTTTCTTACTATTGCCGAATATATACCTGATACTTCTAAAATTGTCAAATGTGGTGATGGTCCATTGGATTCTTGTTGGTCCACTGCTTTTCATATGGATATCATTTCAAATTTAATGAATGATACAGAATTTAGTTTTGACAAAATCAAACGTTGTTTAGATATTCGTCAGCAAGGCTATTCGTCACCTCTGGCACTAGTGAACTACATTTCAAGTCATGATAATCAGCATATGTTATTTCAACTACAACAACATCACATTATGAATGATGATGCTTTTGAACGGCTTGAATTGGCAGCTATATTATTGATGACAGCAATGGGCATACCAATGATATGGATGGGAACGGAACTCGGAGAAGCCAGAGAATCAACAAGTAAGATAATGATAGATTCCAATTTTTCTAATTCTTTTCTATCTATCTCTACTCATTGACTAGGTGATCAGCATCAGAAAGATAGGAAAACTAATTGGCAAGTATTAGATGCACCTGTATCTCCTTATCGTACTTTACTGAACACTTTTAAACAAGTCATTAAACTTCGACGTCAACTTACAGCATTACGTAGTGATAATCTGGAATTTTTCTTCGAACATTATGATGACCGAGTTCTGGCGTACAGTAGACGATCGAATGATAACGATTTAGTTCTAGTTATTGCTCACTTCTCACCGAATAACAGAGATGGATATATTGTGAAAAATATTCCTGCTAAAGAAGGTACCCAATTCGTTAATGGAATGGATGAAAACGAAGTTTTCCGTATTGAAAATGGAACAAATGAACTGAAAATGAATTTGAAACCATTTGAAGGCAAAATATTGATAAAGAAATAGTAACAATGAGTTGAAACAAATTGTTATACTTACTAAGTTTTATTTTTAAAATATGATCGTAGATTTTTAGTAGACATTGCTTATGCGCACAAACTTCAAAGTATCATTTGCAAATACTACCTTTTGTTTAGTCTCTTCTCAAAATAAATCATATTGATTCTCAGTACTAATTATACTATTTTCAATAAAAAAAAATATAAAAACTGATTGTTCAACATTCTTATTTTCCTATTGTATAGGGTGTACGTGTGGGTGTGATTATCTATATTCTCAATCTACACCTTCAAAAGGTGCAGCTGCTTGCTTTTTTGTTAATATTATTTACAAAAGAATTATTTGTCTTAACTTTAGAAGGTAACTAATGGCAAACGAGGAAAAAACATTAATTTCTAAATTAATATTTCATTTCACTTTTTATCAGTTTTAAACTGTTAAGTTTTTGACACTTAAACATTAATAAATAGTCTCGGCGAAAAATCTTCTCGTTCTAACTTACAGTTGACCAAAAGTCATCGTTACTTCGAAAAATGTAGATACATATAATTATTCAATTACCCTTTCCGATTTTGTTCAACAAAGCATTTCACTTATTGAAACTTACTTTAACGTAGTAAATATGACTTTATATTATAGACTGATCGAATTGCTACAAATAAAAACTTAGTTATTATTTATCTGTCAAGTCAATTTATACAGTTGGAAAAAACCCTCATTAGGAAATGATGAGGAAAGTTAAATATTATTTTTTCCAATTGAACGAATAAGTGCTAAAAAACCAATATCAGTTGATGGATTAAATGATTGATGTCGATTGGAATTATCATTATTGATGTACTTGATGGTGGTTCCATGAGATCACTAATGACCGCGAGTGCAAAATTTTGTTGTTGAGAAATATTTGAAAATGTTTGTTGCATAAAATTAAGTACCATTCGTTCTCCTTCAGATCTATTTAATTAAACATATGAAAATATCTTTTCCTTCTCACAGAAACTACTACAGATCTATATCAATTGTACCATTACCACGACGACGACGACATAATTGACCAAAATGATCTGTACCAAACATTTTACAATTAGAATTTGTTGGCATAATTGATTTAATCTGTATAAAATAACAAACATAGTTAAAGATATTCTAAGATGCATTCGTCGATATTTAAAACTTAAATGAGTAAAAACTTACCATTTGTTGATCTTCTTTTCGAATTTAAATGATATTTATATATACTATTATTCAGTTTTATATTATAAAATCAAAAATACAATCATAAAATTGAAGTATTATAATCTTTATCAGTTCCTTTTATACGATTATGAATATTTATCATACATAAAAATATCAGTTCATAAAATATCCAAAACAATATTACTGCCATAATCGTAGGTATTTTTGAATATGTCTAATGATATACTTGTTGGTATATTCCATTTGATGATGTTAGAATATTTCTTACCTTCTTCTATCACATATGCATATGGTTCTTTTCTTACTTCTCATATATGTATGGGAGTTATTCCTTATTGTGATCCTATGTGTGTCTTATTACTTTCGTTCACTTTCTCTCTTCTTCTTGTTCTCTCTGAAAAATTATTGATGTTTCAGGGTGGGTGTGGGTGTAAGTGCTATATAAAGTTCACACCCACCCAACAAATAGAATTCTTTAGCCATATCGTCACTGCCACTACCGTCGCCCCTTCATCCGATAAGATTCAGACTATTCATGATATTCTATCACCTCGTATTTCATCACAAGCAAACCGTTTTCTCGGCACTTTACATCGAGTCTCTAACAGAACCCGCACGGTCGTGATGAATTTTACTGACATGCCGAACAACAGGATGCATTTGAAAAATTTAGTATTATTCTTACCACTGCTCCGCTCATTTTCCATTTTAAAGGTATGGGTCTTATCCTTAACCTGATTCTACACCCACACCCATACCGGTTAAATATTTGACCAAGTCGATGCATCAAATCATTTTCTTGAATAATTTTTCATAGTAAATCAAACCATTGATTTATTTGGTCAACAGTCAAATTAGCTCTTTTTATTTTGTAAGTGGAATTGATTTTTTTAAAACAAGATCTGGATGTCTGCATAAAAACGAATAAAACCAATCGCAAGTAGGTGCATTTGATGGAAAAAGATCACTTTTATTTACACTTGATGCATATTGTTTTGCAAGATTTATAAATTCGTTTATTGATAATGGTACACCCCAGTTCTTTTTATTAAAAGAATGTTATAAATATCATAGAAAACAATGAGAAGTATCCTTGTAAAGCTAAAGCTGCTTGTTCTAGATGAAGCTCTTCTTCTTTATCAAATTTCGGTGGTCGACCAACATGATAATACGAAATAAGATTATTCGAATGAGACTTCAAAGTAGTATAGGGAACATTATAATATACAAATGCTGCACGTATTGAATCGCTATTTGCAACTGCATCCATTGCTAGTTTAAAATCTTCATCACTATAATGGCTTTCTGTATTCAATTTTTGTAAATTCTTGGCATTTATCAAATTTATTCTTTTATCTGGAATGTGACTGACCAGCAATAAAAAAAGATGGTAATAATAGCTGATTAGTAATAAACGGTTATGCACAACAAGAGCAAGAGAAAAAGAAACAGACGGCTATATCGATGATAACTATTTTTCTTCTTCCTTCCTTCCTTTCTTGTTCAGATAAACGATTTGATAAATAATTAGTTCCGATAAGCACATTAAAATAATAAATCTTTTTCTGCCATATACATAAAATATATGTAAATAACAAGTAACGCTCGTCTGAGGACTCTCTTAGCTCTTTCTCGTAGAAATGCATCCTCTTCACATTTACTGGAAAAACAATTGAACACCTTGTTCTTCCTTACTCTTAGCACATACTCACATCCTACTCACGAGGGAACCGCCCCAACTGTCCAATCGCTTTTCAGTTCGAGTGCTGTGCATAAAGTAGATCCAAATGAGGTATGAAAAATCCCAAAAAGATAAGGACCGTTAGGCCTTTATCCTTTTGGGATTTTTCATACCTCACTGGGGTCTACATTATGCACAGCACCCGAACTCTAAAGCGTTCCTTCAGTTGGAGATATTCCCTCGTTAGCCGCAATTTCAAGGGAAAAACAGTCTATTTCAGCTCAAGTTTAACAAGAAGATCTTGGGTATGGGTGTGGACTAAGAGTATAGATGATGATTACACCCATTCACACCCTGATATGCGCTTCTCTATTGATTTTAATGCTATTCGAAATAAATAATTGTACAAAAACGTAAAATGAACGAAAGTGAAAACTGATTACGGTGTAAAAAGAAGTAAAAATTGAATAAATTCAAGAATTCCTTCAGGATAATCTTCACCTTGTTGATTTTTAATACAAATATCTTCATTATCTAATGCTTCCACTGGAGTCTTTGATCGACTTAAAACTTGTTTCCAGATATTTTCTGTTTTAATTTCAATAATTAAATTAGGTAACATCATTTTATCATTCCAATCATCTTGCATATCAACAATTGAATTTCGAATTTCAATTGAATATTTTTCATTTGTATCATTAAAATGAAAGAAAATTAAAAGATTTTGTTCTTTAGCTTTTTGATAATTAAAATTCACTGATAATACTTTTAAACAATTTTGAATTGAAGATTTAAAGACCGTCTCAATCATTTGTTTTTCCGATGGTTTTATTTGAATGAATCCTTTAACTTCTAATGACTTTGTTAAATACCAATTTCTTCCATTAGCTGATATTTCCAATGAAGCTAGTTTTTCTAAAATTAAACTATGAAATTCATTTAATTCTTCAAGATTTAAATCTTCATGAAATAAAGTCAATGCTTCAATTAATTCTAAAGCCCATTGATATTTTTCTTCTTTAAAAGCCAATTGTGCTTTTTCAAAAACTTGTTTTGTTCCACCACCAAATTGAATTAAATTTTCTGCTCGAATTTTTGGCGAATCTACATTTAAATCCGATGTTTTTCCACTAAACCAACCTAAATATCGATCAAATATTGCACGTATACTCCTATAAATACATTCCCAAGTACATTTTATCAATTATTTAAATCTTACCAATTAACAGTTCCATAAAATTCTTGTAAATAAGGATGTTGTTTAAGTTTCGGTGGTAATTCAATTAGTTTATTACCAATAATTTCATCCGGTGTTAATCCTTTATTAATAAATCGAATTGTTTGATCATGAACAAATTGAATTGCATCTCGATAAAAAGTTAATGTTTGATAAATTTCATTTTTTCCAACAATAGGTTTTGTATGTGATGGAATTAAATATTCAACATGAAAATTTCTCATTAAATCTAATGAAGATATCCATTGTAAAGGATCTCGTGTTGTTGTACCACGTATTGCATAAATATTTGGAAATGATTTATAAATATTATCAGCAGCAAAAAGAACATTTTCCTTTGGCATATAAATAACAATATGATCATCTGTTTCACCTGGTGCATAATATAAAACGAATTGTCTTCCAGCTATATTTAATTCAAATGAATTTTCATTAAATGTATCAGTTGGTGGAAGATAAGCTCGATGATTATTTTGATTATAATTTAAAAATGAACCAATTCCACAATTAATATGACCTGTTTGTTTATTTAAATATGTTCCAAATTGTCTCGATGCTCGTTGAAATGTGATTGGTTGAACTAAATTCATTGTTTTATCAAGAATTTCTAATGTTTTTGAATGTGAATATATTTTCGTATTTTCATTTGCAAAAACTCCAGCACCAAAAATATGATCTCCATGATTATGTGTATAAATAATCGCAAGAATTGATTTTGATGATATTTTATCAAAATCTTTTTTCACTTCTTCAGCACTTTCACGTGATTCTAATGTATCAATTATAATATTTCCATCATTTCCTTCAATTAATATTGAATTAGCTAAACCATATCCAATTGCACAATGAATACCGGGTAAAACAGTTGTAACTTAACAAATAATTTCAATTGAAATTTATAAAAAAACACAAATCAAATTACTTTGTTTAGTAAATTCTTCACTGTGTTTCACTAAACCTTCAGACATTATGGTTTTGAATTAAAATAGAATTCGTTTCGTTTTATGAGATAAAAATAAAGATAAACGTTTTTTCTTGTTCTATATTTATAAAAGAATGTAAAGTTCGTAAATAGTCTTATCTTTTTTTATCATTTAAAAAGAGAAATGTTTCAAGTTTAATGTCAAATCGATTTAATAAGTTTTTCAACATGCAGATGTCTTAATTGCAATTGAAAAACGAACGAAGTAAAGTTGTATAGAGTAAAAAATCAATCGAGCTGTACTGCATCTTGACTAAACTTAAAATATTTTGATGATTTTAAAGATTGTCAGTCATATAATGATGTTATTGTGAACCAGCGAACAAGTTAAAACGCCCGTTTTTTTACGATCATGACTGATTGAGTATTTTATTTGTTTTATTTATAATGACTCATATTTCTTGTGTGTTTTCATTAAATAACAGCAAGAAAAAGGGCGTTGGCCATTATAGTCTCACTCACAATCATAATAATACAAAGAATGACGAAAAGCATAAGCTTATTTTTTTTTTCCTACTCATATACAAGGCGGATACCTACAAAATAGAAACGCATGACTGAGCACATTATATGTATAACAACGATTATTAAGTAACATATTTTCATAAAGAAAAAAACATCATTTGATTTCACATCATGAGTTATACTGGATGGAATTCTACGAATACTTTTGTCAACAATACAAATGAATATCTTTCAAGAAATAATGATAATCCTCACGAAGGTTTGTGTTAATCCATTTTCAGTTAATTAGATATTTTTTAAAATTTTTTTAGGTTATGTGAAAAGGTGGATTGAAATAGGTCTTCAAAGATGGGCTGACTCTGCTGAACGTTATGTCTATGAAAGAACGAATCCACCTTATATCTATAATTATAATGAAAGTTATCGTTCTTGGCGATACAAATAATAGAAGAAAAAAGACACGTTTATTTTTACTTTTAAAATAAAAACCAAATCTACTTATTGATAAATTCTATGAAAAGAAACTTAAGAATGATTATCATTCACTTTCTGAATATATTCAAAGTGTTTTCTTTGCAATTTCCAAGCGTATAGAAAGACGAACAAATGAGAAAGAAGAAATAATTCTTATCATTGTATATAAAATAATTGCAGATGAAACCTATCGAACTTTTACGTTAGTCAAACTAAATATTGAAAGAATGAAATTAATTATAAGTTAAAACATAATCAAATAATTAATAAAAATATTGAAAACTAAGAGAAGAATAACATGACTTGTAAGATCATATTATTATACAACGAACGTAACATGATTTATTTAAAGAAGATTTTCTATGTATTTATTTTCTGTACACAAATGATACCTTATTCGATTCTTTATAAACTTTTTTCGATTATAAAAAAATGTTTAATAACAGATATCTTTTGAGAGAAAAGAATATGCAAATGAGCAAAATATAGTTATGTTAAATTCTACATTATCTGTCAACTTTTATTTTTTATTCAATCTTCTTTCTGCCTTTCTTATGTTCGAATAAAAATCGAGATGAGCAAACATCGACGTATGTAGTTTTAATACTTTCTGTCAATATTCTATGTGTTATTATGATCAAAATAATTGTTCAGATTATGCATGTAACAATTCCAGCAATACTTATAAAGATTTTCACATAATGAATTATTTCCAAGAAACATTTTCATATCCATTTCGTGCATATACCTTTGAGGGAGTGGGTGTGGCTGCTAGCGTATTTTAATGCGTAAAAGAATAATCTTTCTACTGCGAAAATTAAATTCATTAGAATAGGTTTTTTGGCTTGCTAACTTTGAAAAAAAATTGTAACACGGTAAATTATGGGCTTTTAGGTGAAAATGCGTTCGCTTTTTTGCGGGTGTGGGTGTGGGTGGGTGTGGATGAGGTGTAGATATTGTATTCACCTAGCACCCACGTCAACATCCGCGCTCTCACCCACAGTTAGTCAAGCGTAGTCGCACCCACACCCTCAAATGGTTTCTTTTTTACTTTGCAAGTGGGTTTTTTCCACTGTATTTGTTTGTGCGCGTCCTTCAAAACTAATGCAGCCCTTACACATGTAGTGTACATTTCTCTCACAAAAAAAACGCAGTTGCCTCT